CTTAAAAATAGCATTTGTGGACACCTTGATGTGTTCTTTGCCCGGGCTTTGAATAGTTTTTGGTTTGAAAATGCACCTAGCTTCCGTTAGCTTCTGTAATAGTTTTTGGTTCGAAAATGCTCTAATGTCCCACGACTATTTCCCAGTAGTATGCTCCTAGCCCTAAGTGAATATGTCTCCTCTCTGGCTCGGAAGCCGCCTGGATGGCCGGGCAGCACGGCTGATCCTTAGCTTGATATTTATAGTGTTCTTTTCTTAAAAAAAGCATTTGTCGACACCTTAATCTGTTCTTTGCCTGGGCTTTGAATAGTTTTTGGTTCGGAAATGCACCTAGCTTCGGTAATAGTTTTTGGTTCGAAAATGCACCTAGCTTCTGTAATAGTTTTTGGTTCGAAAATGAACCTAGCTTCTGTTAGCTTCTGTAATAGTTTTTGGTTCGAAAACGCTCTAATGCCCCACGACTATTTCCCATTTGCATGCCAGATGATGTGGTCATGTGGTGAAGGTGAGGATACAGGAATCGTGCCATTTGCACGCGTGGGATGCCTGACAAAGTAGTGGTGCTCCTCTTTCAAATATGGAGCAGATAAGAATCGATGAGATTGTCCAATCAGATTCCAGTGTTTCGATCTAAGCAACGTGCGCACCATTGGCAATCTACAAAGAAGCATAGTGTCCGAGGAATTTAATACCAATAATAAAAACAAAAGGCAGCAGGAACGGCAGTAGAGGCAGTAGACGGCAGGAGAGAGACAGAGGCACCACTTTTCCCCGTCTCCATCTGCTTCCGCTCCACTCTCAGTCTTCTTGGGAGATGAGGCCGCCGGACATGTATGACCCTGGCGGCAGCTCGTCGTCCCGGCCACATGGCACGGAGGAGCTGCAGCCGGAGGTGGTTCTCTACACGGCGTCGACGTCATGCCGTAGAGGCCGCACCTCCGCCGACCTCTACGCCCTACGTGCCCTGCTGCGGGGCTACGGCCTAGCCATGGACGAGCGCGACGTGTCCAGGAGCAAAGCGCACCGCTGCGAGCTCAAGTCGTTGCTCGCGGCTCGGGGCTGCGCTTTCTCCCTCCCGCAGCTCCTCGTGGGCGGCCAGCTCGTGGGCGGCCCTGACGATGTTAGGCAGCTGCACCAGACCGGTGGGCTCCGGCCTCTCCTCGACGGCGCCCCGAGGCCGTACGGCGCCTTCGTCTGCAAATCCTGCAGGACGGTCGACTCCAAGCCCTGCAGGAAGTGCAGCCACTCCCGCAACAAGATTCTGGATCACGGCGTTATTGCCGACGAGCAGGAGAGGGTTGTCCTTTTTTATCCAACCCAAGGTGAAACTTCCTTTCTCTCCTTCCTATCCCCGTACTACTAGCTCGTACAAAAAGAAAAGAAAAACACCGAGACTGAAATTGCTTAAAACCTGCTGCTGTTATTCTCTTCAGTCAGCGTTTTTCAGTTAGCAAAATAAACGGCAAGGACTTATTGTAGCTGATTTCTCATGTTAGTTTTTTTAGCAACATTTCTCATGTTAGTTAGTTAGCTGAATAGGTGCAGCCTTGATCTGGTCATGGGATGCAGGGCCGTCTCCAGCAAATCGGCGCCCTGTGAAATGCAAAATGAGGCCCGAAATTTACAAAAAAATTGCATAACTCATATAACTAGACATATTTTTACTGAATTATACAGCTTTGAATATGTGTTATTTCGTATAATATTCGAAATACAATAATGCAAAAGAGTAAATGTAGTACTGAAACAATAATGTTCTTTTGTGTGCAAATTTTACTGAAATGGTAAAGTGGACACATTACCGAAAAGCATCATCTGTCTTGAAACAAAAAAATTAAATCCATTGAATCTACTAGCAAAAGAAAATCAATTGAGTCATTCTTGAAATGAAATATGCTAGTTGTGTAGCAGGTGAGCACATAAGGACGAATTAGTACTAGAATTACAAATTAGGTTTGCTCCAAAAAACTATTCGATTTATGGCTAGTGTGTTAACAAGATAAATGTTAATTAAAATTAAGTTTGCTAGGGGGTTATTAAGATTAATGTTTATTAAAATTAAGTTTTCTATTAGGATCTTGGGCGGAAAGGGAAATGGGGAATTTGATACTAGGCCGACTGCGGGCCTGTTGGCTGGGTACTGGGGCCTCGCCGTAATGTTCCTTCGCTTCAATAGAGCAACTAGTTAACGATCTTGTCTCTAAAAAAACCTAGTTAACAATTGCTCATTCGAGAGCCTCGCAACAATCACTTAAGGGTGGGCTGAGAGCGCGCTTGGCGTGCTCTCAGCCGCCGTCACGTGTCACGCTCTAGGCGTTTTATTTGGATTATATTTTTTTCGCACGCTTTTTCTGCTTTTTAGACGATATTTTGTGTTTTTTTAGCCTTTTGATTTTCCACCTGTCTTCCTTAGCTCTTGGATGAAAAAAAATATGGAAAAAACATGTTTTTTTTACTTCCGCGAGAAACGGTTTTGCTTTCAAGAAAGGCACAGACGTGCCACTCGAAAACGTCCAACCCCACACTCAAAGCATCCTCCTCCTCCTCCCCAGCCAAGGTGCGTGGAGATCCAACACGCAAGACCTGGGCCAGAGAGGCAGGCAAGGTGATCAGGGGGGGTGCAGGCAAAAATGCCTGACCGCTGGTGAGCGCAAGAGTGGAGACCCAGAAAGGCCCTGAGACCGCCCCTCCCGAGGGAGCCTAGTCCCGTCGGCTAGCAGACTGATCAGGAAGCCCGTCATTCTCCTCATATGAACTCTCCTTAGATAGGTCCCTGTCCCCCATCCTTTCAACCCTCAGAGGGGGCTTGTGGAGGGGAGGGGCACTTAGCCAGTCCAGCCCTCAAGGTCATCCAGATCAATCTCGTATGTGATACGTCTTCCCTTCTGGCAGAAGTAGGAGATTAAGGACACTAGTCGTCAACCCGTGCATTCGCACGGACTAGTTCATTGAGAACAACTTAGTAGAACTATTTTTTTAGTAATGGTTATACTTTAAAAAAAGTAACTAATTATGAATTCATAGACTTTGTATTGACCTCTTCAAAATTTTGTTCTTCAAAGCACGCGAGTTTGTTCTTTAATCATACATTTAACATTTCTAAGTAACATTTACCTAACCCCAGAAAATGTTAATATTATCTTCAAACCTACATTCAGTAATGTTCTGCCGAAAACTAAAGCATGCATACACTAATGTTTTAAAAAGGACAACACAATTGTGGGAACAAACAATATTTGGATGTTTACGACTAAAACCAGCAAAAATAACTGGTCTATACTTTCTTAAATATAGTGCATAATTACTGACCCATAGAGAGAGCAGCATGATGTGCATGATCATGTCATTCTACCAAACACCTAAATAAACATTAGCCCATGAGTTTCACCCGTTTTGTTACTTTGAGGAACACATGGTTTGTTCCCGAGTACTCATTTTAAATTAGCCAGGTGGAATTATAGAAAGATTGTACACACTGAACATCACAAACACAATGAATTTTTTATCATCCAAATAAATTATAAAAAATTCTAGTGCAAAATATAACTTAGACAAATTTTGCAGTACACCTCTAGTATTATCTCTTTGCTGAACTTAGTAAGAAGAATCTCTTTCCGGTACCTAATAAAATAATATTTCCCTGAATCCATCCCTAGAAGCCAATTACTTATTTGTCCAATCCCATAAATCAAGTGGAACTGCTATCAAATATCAAAATGGTTATACAGATAAGAGGAATCACTTTGAATCCCTGATGCCATGTTATACACACCGTTGTACAAAATATAAAATAAAAATGGACTATATATCTTTACAAAATGTAAAACAAAACCGGACTATATATTAGCAAGAAAGATAAGTAGATCATGTGGGCTATGATTAACTTTTGGAAATATATATATAGTTGAACCGAGAACCTAATAGTACTTTGGTTAGTGATTTTCTCCTTTAGCACATGCATCGAAATTACGTGTTGTTTTTAATTAGAATGAGAAACAAACATCTTCCATGTAAAAAAATCTTGTATAGATAAATGCCACCTTGCTTTGAAACTCCAAGGAATAACAATCTGCCAAATTATAAGTTGAAGCATGCGATCCTACCTAACAAAAGGACACATTAATTAGGCCCTTGCAAGTAAGTCCCTTCTTCTTTGTGCCTTTCAACAAACATAGACTGGAAAACTGAGTGCTATTGGACAGCAAAAGACCATATCTTAAAATGTATGACCATGGGGAAGGTGGAATTAGTATCATCTAAGCTAGTCTTTAATCTTTCTGGTACAGATGACAATTTCAATTGTCTTGAGGAAAGTAAATATATTTTTAACGATTAATCTTCTTTGTTCTAAACTACAACACCAGTTTATATCTTCTCTGCAGTAGTATTTGGTCACAAACAATCATAGTATAATCTGGAGATGCTACAATATGTTGACCGAACAATCAGTATGTGTGTATACTGCATCAAGTATATAGGAGAAATTTCTTCCAGAACTGGCACTTTTAGCCACATGGTCAGACAGCCACACTGCAAGTAAAACCCCCCTCAGTTTTCTCCATAGGAAGGTCCAATTAAGGGCATGCCCGTATGAAATATGAACGTACATGTATGTTCGTTGATTATGGTACATGTATGCCCGTATGGTGCACACTTGTTCGTTGATTATGGCACCCGACCTATCTCGATTACCAGCAAAAGATAATATACGTCTGTATACGCTTGATCAATCGATGATACGTGAAATAAATCACTGACAAAAAAAGTTATCGTTGATGTTAGGCGGTGACTCAGGAGAAGGCTCCTTATTCGGGTCCTGCCCTGGGTTGATGGCTGTAGTCCACACACGACACACACTCATCATGCACCGATCCACCAATCCAGTCCTAACGAAACTACAAATAGGAACGGCCGAACACAACATTCACCAAGTGTCCAGGCGCATGCGATGCCCAAGCCCAGCGGGCTGGCAGCTAGCAGCAGCCAGCAAAAGTGGCAGTGTCGGCGGCCAAGCGGACAGTGCTGACGCACACCGTGGCACTTGTGGCTGGCAGCAGGAGTAGTGGCTGCAGCGAAGCTGACGGTGGTGGTCGGCGGAGAGGAAGTCTCCCTGTCAGGTTCTAGTCTCGGCCGCCCTTCCCCTTCCTTGAGAAAAATTGGTCCTCCGATCCGCCACTGCCTGAGATCATGAGAGTCCTAGTGATCTCTGATTCAGGGATTACCTAGGGCACGGGGAGCTATATTTGATTTCTGCACCTTGTGTGGGCAGGGCACAATAGATCATTTATCTCTCTAATCATATTGAGAATCCAATCGTCTACATATGCATCTTTCTATTCCATCAATTCATCGTCAAGTGCCTAGCTATGCATTGATTAATCCTACGTATCCATCAGTGATTACAATTGAGATAAAGCACGGGAGTGAAGAAGAGATGAGACCTGACAGTAAAGGAGCTGGAGCACAATCACTGTATATGCATCCACATAGGATCCTGCATCCAACAACTCGGGAGGGTTTAGAAGTAGGAGACCACGCTCAAATTTGCAATTCTTTTTCTTTGAGGGAAACGTGGAGAGGCCAAGGTGAGTATGACTGGTACGACCATAACTCGTGAGCGGCCATAAGTTGTTTTGTTTTCAATGAACCTGGAAAATATCAGAAGATCTAGACCGTAATAATTCGGTCTCACGAGATAAACGGCTCGCAAATTCTAATTTACGTGAGAATTTATAGGAAGTGCCTAATTAGTATAGGTATAGATAGATAGATAGATGATAGATAGATAGATAGATAGATAGATGCCATACATATCAGCCCGAGCTGGGGAAAAAAAACCTCGTTGCGGGCCGGGCCCTCCTCCTCCAAGGACCTGAGGTCGACGGTCTAGAATCGTGCCCACCGGCTCCAAGGCTGCCTTGAGAATGTGCTCAGGCTTGCCCCCACTGGGAGCTCGCAGACCAGCAACCAAACCTGGGAGAGAGGGAGACTAGGTTAGGCTCCACAGCTGCTTCCCGGACAGAGATCATGAACTTGTTGATCGTGCACTTGATGTTGTCGTGGGTACGGACCCGAAGCAGCTTGGCAGAGAGTAAGGGCACTGAGAAGACTAGCTATGCCGCCTCAGTGACCTCCCAGGAGATGTCCCTGTCCCTGTAGTCACGGATGTAAGCAGACAGCTGGCCCGAATGAGGTCGGCAGTGATCACGTCTGAAGGGGGCAGGGTCAGGTCGGGGACGAGCAATACCGTCGCCAAGTGAGGCCTGAATGGCTCATCCTCTAGCGTCGCATGTATTTAGTAGAAGCCGCCCCCTTGACCCCG